ACATTGAGAGCGCACTCAAAAGTGGAAGAATTCAAGATGACTCGAATAGCCAAGCTGATGAAGAAATTTTGACCAGTGATTCCTTAGAGGAAGGAAGTATTGATGTTAATGCAATTTGGAATTCCTCTCAAATCCTGTCAGATTCAGTTCCAACATCTTATCCTCAACATCAGTATGCAGCGCCTGCTCAGCGTAAATGACAACTACCTCACAAAGGAAAGTTGACTTCTCCAGATCAACATCAGAATCGACGAGTTCGAAAGCGGTTTCAGAATCAGAAAATACCTCTGAGTATTCCGAAAGAAGAGGTTCGCCAACTTAATCCTATCCCATTGACTTATCGTCAACTATGGTCTCATTTTTCTAGAAACTCGGTAATGACTCCCGGAAGGACTAGGATCATGAAATCTTGACCACCGTGGTTCGACTCGAACACCAGCTGTGAATTTCATGATGGAGTGAAGGGGCATTCGATTGAATAATGGAAAGTTTTCCAAGAGAAAATTCAAGAAATGATAGATGAAGAAGCGCTAACCTTCAAAGGAGGAAGCCCAGTCTTGAATGGAACACCATTATGCTGATACATGTGAAAACTCCATCAGCAGTTCATTTTGTTTGCTTATATGTACTTTTTATTTCTTTGATTAAAAGCATAATTGGTACGTAAGAACTTGTTATTTTGAATAAGTAAGGAAATAAATGTTTGTCTTGAACAAATCCATTCGTATTCACTCGTAAAAAAATATTTTTCATAATTTATAATGCCGAATTTACCCAATATGAGAAAATTGGAAGGAGAATGAGGAAGTAAAACGTAAGATCTCTTGATGTATGCTTTAGAATGAAACCCTACTGATGACGTAAGGCATTTTTTTCAAACCTCCCAAACACCAGAGATATAAGGAAGTTAAATCCTCTTTAACCGTTTTCAACCTCATTTTTAAACCTGGGGCAGGACAATTTTCAGTCAGCTTGACTGAGCACCTAATTTTCCCAAAGAGATTGAGCATCTTCCAAAAAATGGGTGGGTACAAATATGCTTTGACCCCTATTCCTTTGTTTTAAAAATCGCAAACTAAACCGATACAACCTTCCAAAAGTACTAATTGAAGTAAGGTTTACTTCAAAAGCATACTTAGTGAGATAACGTTTCCTGACTCCTATGAGCTATGCTCAGCTTTTATATTGGCTTTATAAAAAAAATTCATATCCCAACTAGTTGATTTTGTTTCAAGTTGTCATGATATCTCTTTTTTTTTTCAAAACTTCTAGACAAACATGTATATTGCATCAACAGTTTCAAAATTAACATTTCATGCGTGTTGATTTTCTTGATAATATAGAAAGTTACATATAAACATCTGCGTTAAGTTTGTTTTATTGGAATTTGAAGACTCTGTTGACCTGGGGCAAGTTTGTTTCCAAGTGGTTTGCTAATACAAATTTGACTTCGCCTAAAGAGCTATTTTTGAAGACTCAATCATAATACCGTCAATTAGGGTCAGTTACGTCGAGATTCGGCGAATCTCTCCAGAGAGTTTGAAAACAATGGGACACCAAGTTTTCTGTAAAATCCTCCTGGAATGACTTTTTTTTCTCATGAGCATGTGACTTGGGGCATTCAAGAATTAAAGACTATTTTATCCATTTACAACAAACCATTGTTTAAATGGCGACTACCATTACAATTCCTTAACACACAACATTCTTCATTCATGTCCCCGGTAATTTTACTCCAGGCGGTCATGATTTCTCCGATGAAGCTTTTCGATGTAAGAATCCCCAGTGATTTGTTTAAACTTCACCACCCCAATGAAGTGGATGTATTTCTCCTCCTCAGTGGATCTTCTACAAACGCCAATTTTCCCCAGTGAAACGGATGTTTATTTCATCCTCATGAAGCTTCAACTCCCACATATTCAACCACTATTTTACCCAGGTTTCCCCGTCGAAGTGATTATTTATTTTATCCCTTGTGAAACCTCAGTTCGGGTATCTCTATCTATAACTCCAGCAAGAATCTCTCCAATGAAACGATATTTATTTTATCCATGGTTTTCTCCAATTATGAGTTTGGTCCACTCATAGTAGATATTTATTCTCATCTTCAACAAGACAGCTATGATTCATCCTGATAAATTCTTTAAGAAAAATCAAGTTGTTATATCCCTAAGTGGAATGTTTTCTATTCCCGGAGAAGCTTTGAAGCTCTGAAGTAGGATTTTGATCTCGTATCCAGTTCTCCATCTATCCCCAGTGGTGCTTCTATCCTGGAATATTGGTCGGATGTTTGTTTCGAGATGTTTATTTCATCTCTCTTTGCTTCCTTTCGTTTGTTTTGTCAGCATAAACATACGCATATCATATAGATAAATAGCATGGCATATGCATTTTGCATCTTTGTGTGTGTTTGTTGCGTCACCTTGGACGTGGTTATCCCCGAGTGACTGGGTTTGTCTTATCCCTCCAAGTAGAGTTGCCAACCCTATGTAGAAAGAGCATAATATTACTATTTCCCCATGAAGATTGATCCTCGTGGAAGATAGTTGTTTTAGTACATCCTATATGAGTTCATACCTTAATGGTCGAGTCTTGCTTGATAGTTTCTCTTCGGTTATTTCCTGAAGTGAACTTCGGTCCTTGGCAATCACATTGTGGGCATCTCCAACTTTTGAACCCACACTTTAGTGTGCATTTATTTCGCACCCTATTCCCCGAGAAGAATCTCCATGAAGATCAGATATTTCTCCAACAATATTACAGGATTTTCTTAAACAATTTATACCTAGACTACAAGCGATCTCTTTATTTGAGCAACTCGTTTGGATCAGGATTCCATCCGAAACCACAGGTGGCAGTCTCCTCAAGACAGTTTGTCCTTCCTCAGTAACTTATCAAGATTATCAACTTGTCTAATGACATCTCTTTGGAAAGCCGTCAGAGTAGTTTGTCGAAGATTTTATAGATTATCTCTCTTTATTTGAGAACTTTCACTACAAAGGTTTCATACTTTTACACCACCAACGAAAATACTCCTCAGGAATGTATTCCCCAGTAAGTTCATTACACTAGTCTGATTCCATCAAATAACATCTCTCCCGATAGGCTTGGTGAAGTCTATTACTTTTGATCTCTCTTTATTTGAGCAGACATATTTGAAAATCAATCGGTTCACATCTCTTCTGAAGATCCCCGTCGAAATTTCACAATCGCCAATACATTGTGAATTACTGCTGAAGTCCTTAATCTCAAGTGATATTTTAACCCCTCGTGAAGATGCTCTCACGAGTTTTCATCATTTCAAGAAACTGAGACTCATTCATGGCACACAAACCATGAGGCGTGGGGAGGTTTATTTCAAGAAAATGAGACCCGTTCATGGCACATAAACCATGAGGCGTGGGGAGGTTTATTTCAAGAAACTGATACCCGCTCATGGCACACAAACCATGAAGCGTGGGGAGGTTTATTTCAAGAAACTGAGACCCGCTCATGGCACACAAACCTTGAAGCGTGGGGAGGTTTATTTTTCTACTCTTTTCAAACGGAACACTCAATTAAGAAGCTTAATTATGTTTCGATCAAGAAAGTTCATTTTGGTTATTACCGTTGTCTGGACTACCACATGTTGGTAGTAGGTTATCCTTCTATTACAAGTTTCTCGCATGTTGTTTAAATCGTCGTGTTCTTGGTGTATGTGTTATACTCTTATACTTCTGGAGATTCCCCATTGCTGGTTGTTTCCTTTCCCCATGGAGTCTCGCTTTGTTGAGCCCGTCTTTTTTTGTTGCTCCTGTGTTTCTCGCGTGTTGTGTCTAGTTCTTCCCCTATGGCATCTTGTCTCCACAGAACCCTTGGTCTTGCATTTCACATCATCTCATATCATATGCATTCGGTGGCTTCTTAGGGCCAAAAATTCGTGCAATGTTTGTATTTAAGTCCCTCATATCTCGTCAAGACGAAGATTTCAATCTCCATATCTCCGGATAGAAGAAACTTAAATAAGGGCATCTGTCACACCCTAATTTTTGACCTTAAGATTCCACCTCCTTTTTTTCTTTTTTTTTTTATTTCTATACTTTGGTATATGTGTTTATTATCACTAACAAGCACGTGCAGGTACATTGATCCCAAATGTAGACGATATTTATTCCCACAGTCAAGCACATCAAGGATCAGTGGCCACTGTCCTCAACGAGGCCTCAGCCATTAGGTTGATTACAACAGATGCCTTCCTTTTGAGGTTTGAGGAGTGATGGTATGTGCTCCCAAACCACGGATGTAGTTCAAGGTTTCTCCAGATGTGGTTAAATTGCCTCAATTTGCGCTTTACTTTCAAGAGGGAAAGTTCAATGTACGCTAGTATGCCATAGTTAAGCATATGGGATTCTTAGAGATTTAAGTACAAATCCAGATTGCAAGTCGGCAACAAATTTCAAGATCCGAATACGAGTTTGGCACAAGGATGGATTTTGCAAGCCATTCTCGATCAAGGCTTGATTTGTGTTTCTCAATTACTTATGGTTCTAAAACGCAAGATTTTACTTCTTTAAAAATAATGTTTTGCAAGAAACTTTAGTTTGATTTCATCCAAGTTTATCAAGTCCCATTCCAAGATTTTAAGGTTTACTTCTTTCATAAAAAGTCATGGTCAGAGCCTAAAGATAAGCCATGAACGTGTTTGATGAACTGGAATTGGTGTGTTATTACTAAATACCCAAATAACTATGTCGTAAGCGGCGAGGGTGACAAACTTAAAATATTTCAAAAGCTTCATATTCAAAATATTCAGGGAGTTTTACAATTACATCAAAGGAGGATTTCAATATCCTAAAGTTCATGTTTAGATAAGCAACAAAATCGTAACTTTGATGCCAAACAAGTACTAGACTGCTCGGTAGATTTAGGATGTTATGATCAATCGCCTTGAGCTTCCTACGATGCAGATGATATCGTTAGACACTCCACAGGATTTGGATGAAGGGAGCATCACCAAGGGCTCACATGTGATGACGGTTTGTTACTTCAAACAGATACAAGAGATGGGAGTATTTGAAGATGTGTCTACTTGAATGGTGGAAAGGTTGACTGCATATTGCATCTCTAGTTAATTCTAACTCACTTGGTATCATATGGCCGTGGTTCTGTTCTTCCACAAGGTCGCTGCTAGGAACTGGCGCCGTCACGTTTAGCGATAACCTATGCAAAACAATATCAGAAGCTCAGTTAAATGTCTTTTTAGCAGTATCATTTTATGAATCCTTTGGGTGGTTACGGTATAACGTTTTTGAATGGACAATTAGTTAACCTTTCTTTTGAGGGAAGTTGTTTCATTGCCGACCACATTTGTCTAGACGGTTGTTATGTCCAAAAAACGTGGAAGTGTAGCAAAACGAAATGCTCAACATCCCGCCAATACAACAATTTAACCTGTTAACTGATGTGCTCCGTGGGAATCAAACACCCTGCCGCCAATTTGCGCAACACCGTTAACGAACCCTGCACAAAGAAAAATGCAGTAACTATCAGTGGAACCTCACGAATACACCGAATTACCACAAAGTAAAGGAAATACAAGTTTTAACAAAGGCCCATCCAAACTGCGGCCAGAATAGACGGAGAAGGATTTATGAGCAAGCTTTCCCGAAGTTACACCTCCAATACTGCACCATAGGCAACTTAACTCCTGAAATAATATCAACAGACAGACAGACATAATTAGTCCAAAGCAGAAAGCCACATTCATACATTTACAGCAAATCCTTTGATTGGTTTTAGCAAAATCGGATTTGTCGGAACAAAACAGCAAGTAATTCATTACAAAATAATTTGTAAAACAATTTTCCAAAACACGTTTGCACATGACGATTTGAACAAGGAAAGAAATCAAAGTAATCAAACAACAATTGAACTTTCCAAGTTAAAATTGACAGGGTCTTAATTTGGTTTCCAAGACGGGATAAACATGTTCACACCGATAGGGGGAGATTTTTTATCGTGACAATTATATCTTTGCAAAACCATCTTCCACAAAATCAGAGCATTCAATCCAAATCAATGTTTTGATTCCTTCTGAGCCTATAAAACAGAGGTAACAGAGAGTGAAGAAAAGAGGACAACAGAACAAAAACTTTCACGGGATACACAATGAAAACCCAAACTTCACAACATCCATAGAAACTACCCAGAAAAAATCTAAATCGTGAGATAAGAAAAGAGAAGATCGGAACCTATCTCGCATTCCTCTTCTGTCATCATTTCGCCGTTGAACCACCCTCATCGCTCTCACAACTGTCGTGAACCGCAAGCCACCACTATCTCCACGAAGCCATCACCGGAGTTCGCGAATTGTCCCCCGTTACTCATTCGCCGTCATGCCGGAAACGCAACTCTCTGCCCTAACCACCTTCAAAACCTACAAAAATCCATTTTTTATAAATCGTGAGTTTTTTATTTTTTCACTGACATTTACCATTTTTTGTTGTTTGATTTGTAGTGAATCAAAGGATGGAAAATAGAGAAGAATGAATGGCGAAAGGAAGACGAAGAGCAAGGAAGGAGAAGGAGAAAGCGTCAGCGGCACTTTGGTAAAAGAAGAGGATTGGTTTTGATTTTAAGGTTTTTGATGATTTATTTTTGGTTTTGTATTGTAATATAATTCCACACACGCCACCCCACCATATCACCATGCACTCACGCATCACCACTGTACGATCCGTCATCAGATCTCATCCTACGACCCTCACAATGCAGCCCTACGACAAACCCTTCTCCCTGCGTCATACCTAATCAATCCGCCCATTAACCTTTAATCAACCATCATTAATCCCCTTAATCTATCATTTAATCAACTAACCATTCAATTTCTATTTAATTAATTAATTAATACTAATTTAACCATAATTTAATCACATCTCTAAATCAGTCGTTTAATTTAAAGCTAATTAACCTTTTTTTAAACCCATTTTATTTGATCTTTTTTTAATTAATTAACTTATTAATAAGCTTTTTAGTTAATAAACTCATTTTACTTCATCATTTTAAATTAAACCCCTTTCTCATATAATAATAAAATTGTTCTTTTTCTTAATGAAAAACCATTTCATATTTAAAATAATCTTTATTTAGCCATAATAACTAAAATTCTATTTTATTTAAAAAGAAATTCTAGTTCATAATCAAAACATTTTGTATAACCAACTTTTTTATAAGATGTTTTTTTTTTATATATAAACCTTTATTTAATAATTATTTGTATAATAAAACTTATTCTACAATTTAATTAACTTAATTTGTCAATAATCATAAAACCTCTTAGATATTTTAAGAAGCCCTTTTATTTTTAAATTTACTCTTTAGAATTTAATTAATCATCTAAACCTTTTTATTAAAACTAATTTATCCAACATTTTCTTAAAAAACAATTCACCCCTCTAAATATATTCCCTTAAAATCAATCTCACCAAAATTAATGTAACTTTTAAATAACTTCTCGCATAAAATCAATCTCCCCTTAATTCAATCAATTGTGCACGCTTCCGTCTCCCAGCACCGATTCCAATCACTATGCACGGCTCTCACACTTATCCTTTAGCAATTCTTGTTCCATGGATTTACTTATTCGCCTTTACTTTTACTGCAATTTATTTTTATCGTATTGCATAAATGTCCAAAGGAAGAATCTGCGCATAACTTAACACTTGTGCGTATGCATTTCATATTGCATCATAATTCTCCATTTGATCCTTGATCCTATTCAATTTGATCTCTTAAGTTTAGTCCCTACCCCTTAAGGAGGACCTTTTTCTTTTATCTTCTATAACTTAGATAAAAACAATTCATAAACTCAATTCAAACTATTTCAAACCATTAGAGAATTAGACGTGGGTCATCTTGACCGTCGAGATATAAATCTCCTGCCCCATAACAATACAATCGATTTGTAGGATCTTTTCCGCTTAAGAGAGATAGTGGGATACTCGTCGATTAAATCCGAGTGTTTGAGCCCTTCTCTTAAGACGATGTAAAGACCATTTCCTACAAGTTGTGGTGTTTAAGTCGAGTAATCTCCCTCGAGATGAAGACTCATCTTTTCTCCTAGAATCAGTCAATCAACCATCCTTTATCCTTTGGAACTTTGACCAACAGTAAAAAAGTTCCTCAAACCCTTTAGAGGAACTACAGATACTCTGATTCCATTCCCGTCAGGATATGTAGGCACAAGATGCAGCGTCTTAGCGAGTATACTTAGAATTAAACCACTAGGTCTTTTACCCTTAAGCAGATAATCCTTAGCAATAAACAACATTAAAATAAGAGGTTCCTGTAGGGTACTACAGAAACTTAGGATGCTAGTACCTTCCCTAAGTTTAACCAACCCCCGAACCTAAAACTCTCTAGCTTTTGCATTTGCATTGCATTGTGGGTAATTCGATCATTTTCCCTTCCTTTGGACAAATAAAAGACCGGTGGTGAACCAATGAATTAAGATTCAAATTAATTAATAATTTTACATCCAACTCTCACCGCGACAATCATCATGAATCCATCATATAAAAGCAAAATGGTTTTCCCTAATGCTGAGAATGTGCAATAGCAGTTGGAGAGAGCACAGAGAGCTTGAATTACTCTCAACATTTTCCATTTTCGAATCATACTTTTTACTATAAATCAACTTCAATTTCTATTGGATTCTTCTTCACAAAGGCCTAAGGAACAAATTGGAAGCAAGAGAGTGAAGCTTGCATGCCTTAGAAGAGACAACGATGTTGCTCCATTCAGTAAGTTTCCACCTCTAATTTCTCTCATTCTAGGCACTTTTTAGGATCATTCTGGGTTGCATCTGAAGCCCTACATATGGTAGGCCATGTTTGAGCCATTGTTGTGTTCGTATATTAAAGTTTCAGATCTTGCTGTCAATTTTTCATGCCTTCGATTCTCATTATTCATGAATCTTTTTCAAAATCCATGGTTAGATTTGGAATCCTTGTGAGCTCAGCTTTCTTTTTTATGTATGATTTGCGTATTTCTATGGAGGCTTGATGACTGGTCTCCGACGAGCTGGCCAGAGAAGACGACTGGAGCCCTAGATCCGGCGTCCAGTCACCAACCTGGTCTGAGCTGACTCATTTCATGTGGACTTGTTGACTTGTTGCTTGGCATGAGTTCATTGGCCTGACTTTGATGGCGTGGAAGTTTGACTATGACGTGTTTTAATGAAACGCTGTGTTTCCTTAAAACACCGATTCTGGATCAACTGGGCTTGGATTGTTATCTACACCTCTCCTTTTTTTAGCCCATTGTGCTTTACAACTGTTTTCAGTTCTTTTTCACTTTGCCAGTTGCACCCCCTTTGCTTCAATTTATTTTATTTCCTTTTAATTTATGTTTTCATTTTCTATTTTTAAAAATAGTTTTAACTATCAAAAAATTCCATAAATTTTTTTTTCACTTATTACAAGATGTTACTTAATTTTCTATTATTTTTATTTCTGTTTTTATTTTAATTTGCCATTTTATTTTAATTGTTCAATTAAAAGTGTTTTTGGTGTCATCTTTGTTTGATCCTAATCATTTGAGCCTTTATTGCATACCCCCTATAATCAAGGCTTCTTCTCCATTTAGAGGATGAATTGAAGTGTCTTTGAGGGTGGTTATGGTTCATGTTTGATCATTTCTTGGTTGACTTTGAGTTGACTTTTTGATGTCCCTCGACTTATGCTCAATAAGGTGGAGCACCCTTAATAATTGAATTATTTGGTGATGCTTTGAGATGAGTTTGACCTTGATACTTTGGTTTCTATTTTTCATTTTCCTTAGCTAATTTGTGCTTTTTATTTGGATTTTATTGAACATTTTTCCTATTTTTGGTGAAGCTTGCAAGTTAAGTCATCATAGGAAGTGTTCATACAAACTAGTTTGACCTAGTTTTTTTGGGAGATGACTTTTATGGATCCTATAATACCCTAATTTTTACCCCTAAGATCCCACATTTCATTTGCATTATTACATACGCAAACAAGATCATACTTTTGACGTTCTCACCCTTATTTGTTTCTTACTTGCTTTTTGTTGTTTATGTTTACTAACCTCTAACCAAAATACCAAAAATATTTTGCAATTTGCTTGTTTCTTCTTCTTCTCTGTGTGTTTAGGGTTTTGCAAGGAGATTGATGGCAAGGACATTCATTCAAGTCTAAATCAGATGGAAGTTTGACCTCATCTTGGTCAAACTATCAAGAGATTGCTTCAATTACAAATTGGTTGTGGCAGTGGACTATTTTTCAAGCAGTGAATATTCAAGGTCAATGTGTCTTGTGTTGGTCCAAGTTATTATGATTAAGAGT